TCAATTTGTATTCAAAACCGTATGTATGCTATTAATATTTGTATTCATTCAAAAATCATGTTGCATAGTTTATGAATCTGGTATTTGTTCCTAATTTGTATTCATTCTAAAGGTATGCCAACTAGTTATATATTTTATTTAAGAATGATTGCAACAAATATTCATTTATTCCTTTTTTGTTTATATTTTATTCTCACTTTTTCATCATATTATTTTTTGTATTTTATATATTATTATACAAAATACTACATAAAAATTAGAATGAATACAAATACAAATAAAATACATATTGAAATGAATATGACTTAAGAAAGGATACAAGATTCTGAAGAAAAAAAATATACAGTGAAATCAGGAGAAAAAAACAAAAATACACTGTGAGAAAGGCACACGTTTGAGTTTTCTTTGAAAATTAATTGATGAGAAAATTAAGATACATAAATCAGATATATAACAAACTAAATAATTGACACTTTTAATAAATATTGAAAATGTGGCTAAGGGGTCCTATTAAATGCTAAAATATTGACATTTAAAAAAATTTCCCTAATTTTTATACAACACATGTATACCGAATGAGTCTATTTGTATGTTTTGGTATACAAATGGGATGACAAAAATCATTGAATGTTTGCTGCGAATTACAAATAAAAGAAACTATGACTATAATATTTAATTTGAATTAATAGTTTGCTATTTCATACAATTTTCCCATTTTTTCCCATCAGTTCTTCCTTATTTGTTACATATTTACTAATCCAATTGGATATTCTTTTGCTTTAATTAATTAAACTTATTTCTTTTCTTTCATTAAGTATTAATCTCTTGATACGAGTATTGTGTATGTCCTATATCAATTAGTAAGTACTAAATTTTAAACGTTATATAAATATTGGTAAGAATATATTTGAAAATAGTATATATTTTTTAAAGACAAAAATAAGTTCTAAAAATGATGGATATTATTATGTTAGAATTTTTTTAATTTAAAGGTTCTTTCGATTTTTTACGTCGTGCTAAGTGAAGATTGTAAGATTAAATACTTTAATACATAATATCAGGATCTTGAACACGACAATCTTACATAGAGATCGTTAGGGGCACATACCTGATGCGGAAGACATCATCACAGAGACAAAGCGAAAGCATTAGACGTAAATTGATTTCTACCTCCTTTTCCTAACTTTATGTTACCACAACCGTCAACGATGGAATTATTGTAGAGAATATGTGGTAACCCTAATAGGTGGAAGGAGGACCAATTTATAGAGGTTAAGACTTAATCTGGTACGTCCATCGAGTAACCAATGTACGGACGAGATCTATTATTCATTAAATATTATTTATGGTATTACTTGGGCTACAAGTAAACTTGGGCCTTGGGCCATTAGTAAGAATTATTCTTACATTCTCCCACTTGGCCCAATGACCATATAACATTAATATTTCATAAACATTAGTTGCGCATACAATAAATCTCTTCTATAATGCCCATCATACATACCACAATATAACAAACTACTAATGTGAGTTATGGCGGTTGTACATAAATTTTAAGCTACATACTTCCTTCCATATACTACTACATTAGCAACTTATCATTCTAGGTTCATAAGCTATAAAAACATATAACATTGTGGTCCACAATAATGTCTCATAGAGACTTATCTAGTAATATCTCAAAACAATAATGTGTACACCATTATGAGAAACAAGATATTCATTAACGTATATCAGAAACACATTATTGAGCTTAGAGTGTAAAAACATCATAAATGTATCAATCATAAGTACAACGAAGACTCATTCTTTGAACATGTTCTTTAAATGTCTTTGGTTGTAAGCCATTTGTTAACGGATCTGCAATCATGAGATCAGTTCTAATATTCGCAAGTAACACTCTTTGTTTCTGAGCTTCTTCCTTGACCGTAAAGTACTTTAGTTCCATATGTTTGGCACGTTTGGAGTACTTATCATTCTTGGAGAAGAATACTGTTGCTGCAGTATTATCACAATAAATTTTTAGCGACTTGGTAATGGTGTCGACAATCCCAAGTCCTGAAATACAGTTCTCCAGCCATAATGCATGAATTGTGGCTTCATAACATGCCACAAGCTTTCTTTGCAGTTTTTCAGTGATCAATTCCAAGATTACTTTGATATCTTCCTAGCATTCCGACCTTGTGCAAGTTTGAACATACATCAAACTTCCAACAATAGAATATAAGGAATTGTTTCCATTTCTTTTCGTTCTACATCATTCTTTGGGCATTGCATGAGATAAATTTGTCCCTTTTTTTATTAGGAACTATTCTTGCTGAACAATTGTTCATGTTAAATCTCTCTAGAACTCTTTCGATATAGCCCTTTTGAGATAGTTCCAATAATCCTTGTGATCTATTGCGGAATATTTCTATCCCTATCACATAGGATATCTCACCCATATCTTTCATTTCAAATTTCATAAAGAGAAAGTCATTCGTCTCACACAATTATACCTAAATCATTAGCAACAAGTAAAATGTAATCAACATACATGACTAAAAATATAAACTTACTCCCACTAATCTTTTGGTATATGCACCGATCAACGGTAATTTCCTTAAATTCAAAAGATGTTATGGTATCATTAAAATTTATATACCATTGTCGTGAGGCTTGTTTAAGTCCATATATTGTATTCTTTAGCTTACATACCATTTGATATTTTCCTTTAATTTTGAAACCCTCTGGTTGGTCCATATAAACATCCTCCTCGAGGTCTTTATTAAGAAAGACAGTTTTCACATCTATTTGGTGTAACTCTAAATCATAATGAGCTACCAAAGCCAAATAATTCTTAATAAATCTTTCTTTGAGACCGGTGAAAAAGTCTCTTTATAATCAATGCCTCCTTTTTTAGTGTATCCCTTAGCAACAAGTCTGGCTTTATATCGTTCAATATTACCATTAGAATCGGGTTTGGTCTTGAAGACCCATCTACACCCGATTCTTTGAGAACTTTTTGGTAATTGAACGAGATCCCAGAATTTGTTGGTTTCCATGAATTTTAACTCTTCATTCATGGCATTAATCCATTTATCAGATTCAGTAATTTCTATGGCTTGTGAAAATGAAATCGGATCTTTATTAATTTCAATGTCAAAATCTGACTCTTGCAAATAAATCACATAATCATTTGAAATGACCGATTTTTTTCTTTCTTTTTGAGATTTTCTTAATGGCACTGTTTGTGGTTCATTTACGTCAAACACTTGTGAGTTTGTTCTTTCTTGAAGTGTTTCACCTAAATGTTGTTCAATATTGTTAAAATTTTCTTCAACAAGAGGAACAACATTTGTTATTGGTGTGGAAGTAGGTACATTCAAGGGCAATGAAATATTTATCCTTACCTCATTAATTTCCACACTTTGTCGTTCAACACTCTCACTAACTTTACCATTCTCAATGAATTTTGCATTACTGGTTTCAACAAATTCTCGAACTATAATTTGGACAATAAAACTTATACCCTTTAGATTTATCTAGATAACCAATAAAGTAACCACTTACCGTTCGAGAATCTAATTTCTTTTCATGTGGATTATAAACTCTAGCTTCCTTTTGACAACCCCAAATATGTAGGTGTCTTAAACTATGATTCTTTCCGGTCCACAGTTCAAAAGAGGTCTTTGGAACTGCCTTACTAGGATCCTGTTCAATAATATACAACGATTGTAAAGGCATACATCCACAATGAGTTGGGTAATGAAGAATTACTCATCATACTCCTAACCATATCCATAAGTGTTCGATTACGCCTTTCTGCAACACTATTTTGTTGAGGTGTTCCTGGTATAGTATATTGTGCACATATGCCATGCTCTTCCAGGAATTTTGCAAATGGACCTGGACCTTGTCTTGATTCGTTATACTTTTCATAATATTCACCACCTCTATCTGACCTAATGATTTTCACTTTCTTATCTAATTGTTTTTCAACCTCTTTAACGTACACTTTGAGAGCGTCTGCTGCTTGAGATTTTTCTTTCAACAAATAGATCAATCCATAACGTGAAAAATCATCGATAAATGTGATAAAATATTTTTCTCCACCAAAAGATGGAACATCAAAGGGTCCACAAATATCAGTGTGTCTAATTTCAAGAAGTTGAGTGCTCCTTGTAACATCTTTCTTGGTATGGTTGATTTGCTTTCCTTTAATGCAATCCAAACATATATCAAGATCAATAAAATTCAGATTAAGAAGAATCTCATTCTTCACCAACCTTTTAAATCTTTCTTTGGATACATGACCCAAACGTTTATGCCACAAATAAGCAGAACTTTCATTTAGTGAACTACGTTTAATTTTAACATTTTGATGAATAGTAAGAAGGGATTCAAAAAATTATTATCGAGTTTCAATCTATATAAACCATCAATAAGAATACCAAAATCATAAAAGAGTATTCTTATATAAATTGAAACAACCATGTCCAAACTTAAAATCAAATCCAGAAACATCAAGTCTCAAAAGAGAAATCAACTTCCTAGAAACTGAAGGAACATAAAGAGTCTGTAATAGAACAAGGTGATGTCCAGTCTCCAAGATCAAACGATAAGTCCATATGCCTTCAATTTTGGCCTCCATGAGATTTCCAGGAATAAGAAATCCTTATTTGAATTTGTAGTATGGATCGTAGTGAATCCCTGCAACATAGTGGATACATGAGTAGTTGCACCAAAATCAAGCCACCAAGTATTATCAACAATTTCTACTAAATTTGATTTGAAACATACAAAAGCACTAAATGTACCTTTCTTTTCAAACCAAGCTTTACGTTTCAACAATCTTTCTGATATTGTCCTTCTTTTTTACAGAAACGACACACATCAACCTTGAGTTCCTTATGAGCATCCTGTGGAACTTTAGAAGGTGCTTTCTTTTTCTTAAACTTGTTGGCTTTCACTTTAAGTACTTTACCAGCTCCTTGACCCATGGGGTTAATGGAATGGCCTCATTGTTTCTTAAGTCTTGACTCCTCTTGAGTAAGCATATTGGACAATTCAGTAACATCCCACTTATCCTTAATAGTGTTATAGTTAATTTGGAATGGTCCATACTCAAGAGGCAATGAGTTCAGAATAAACTGAACCAAGAAGGTGTCATCCACTTTAATCTCTAAGGTCGAAAGTCTTGCTGCAATGTTAGTCATCTCGATGATATGATTTTGCATACTACGCGACCCATCAAACTTCATGGTCGTGAGTTCAGCCATTAGTGTACCAGCGAGAGACTTATCAGCATAACGAAAACGTTCTCCCACAAACTTTAGGTATTCCCTGGCACTTTCTGTTTGTGGAATAGTATTCTTAATGTTGTTAGCAACAGTCATTCGCATAAACATAAGACTTCATCTGTTAGAGCGCTCCCATGATTTATGAAAAGACTTCTCATCCTCACTGCTCTTATCAGTAATAGCAGTAGGTTTGTCATTCAACAAAGACAAGTCAAGATTCATCACACCTAAGTGGAACTAGACTTGTTCATGTCATCCAGAGAAATTCAATCAATTGAACACAGTAACAAACGAAGCATATGAATGAAGAGGAATAACTACAAAATAGATATACATGCTCACAAATCAAAAAATAATGTGAATTCAGTAAAGCGATAAAAATATATCGTAATTCTCCTTTGGGTAGATACTATGACGTATTATCATAATTTAAATGTCATTTTTATATTTAATAGGTAATTGAATATTTTTAATCAAACATATACGACATCTTTGGATATACAATATATGTTTGACGAAAATATTAATTCACCTCATAATTTTCACTATTCATAGAATGATAGATTCACCTTTGGGTAAATTCTTATGTTTTATAAATACTAAAAGTCAATTTATCTATTTATTTTTTAATATATAGGTATTTAATTAACCTTCATAGATAAATGACAATTTTATGAGTGCATATTTCTCTTAACCATACTAGTTTGACCACTTTGGTGACTAACAAGCTATATGAATACAAATGCATACATAATCTCATAAAAGTTTGTGCATGTGAATAATTTTAAATATTTTAGGTTGGCCACTTTGGTGACTAACAAACTATAGAAACATAATTCATGCATCAAGTGATCATAAATATTATATGTGTAGATGCTAATTTCTCTAGTTTGACCACTTTCCTGACTAACAAATTATATAAATACAAATGCATACATAATATCATAAAATTTTGTGCATGTGAATAAATTTATATGTTTTAGTTTGGCCACTTTGTTGACTAACAAACTATAGAAACATAATACATGCATCAGGTTGAAAAATCTGACCCAGTCTCTCTTGGAATACTGAATATGCCAATAAATATTGAATTGTACTAATCCACATATGACAAGTGATCATAAATATTACATGTGTAGACGTTAATTTCTTAGTTTGGCCACTTTGGTGACTAACAAACTATATTGCACTAACTATACACACATTATTTATTGCTTAGTATAATGACCACTTTAATTTATTGCACAATCTAAAACAAAACATAATTATTACATTATGGGAAGAATAATTTTTTTTAAAGAATTTGTGCAATCTAAAACAAAACATAATTATTTATTTATTTAGGGGTGGTGGGCGGTGATTACTCTTTATTACCCTACCAAGGCTGATGAGGTTATATAATTTATGAAGATTATCAGTTCAAACAATCCACGCTTAAATGCCACATGTAAGATTAAATACTTTAATACATAATATCAGGATCTTGAACACGACAATCTTACATAGAGATCGTTAGAGGCACATACCTGATGCGGAAGACATCATCATAGAGAAAAAGCGGAAGTGTTAGTCGTAAATTGGTTTCTACCTCCTTGCCCTAACTTTATGTTACCACAACCATCAGAGATGAAATTATTGTAGAGAATATGTGGTAACCCTAATAGGTGGAGGGAGGACTAATTTATAGAGGTTAAGACTTAATCTGGTACGTCCATCAAGTAACCAATGTACGGACGAGATCTATTATTCATTAAATATTATTTATGATATTACTTGGGCTACAAGTAAACTTGGGCTATAAGTATACTTGGGCCATTAGTAAGAATTATTCTTACAAAGATGACTAGGTTGAAGCTACAATTTTTATTTTTATTTTTTCTCAACTATATGAGTATATAGTTGCAACAATGCATATAGACAAAGAAATATGAATATAATACGGTAACGGTATTAAATGATTTATACAAGTTCGAATTTTAAACATGAGAATTTCTTATTTTTTTCAAAGTTTAAGAGAAAATATCTCATTCCTAACAAACAAACAAACACTGAACTTCTTGGGTATCTTTAATATCAAAATATCTAAAAAAAAACATTATTAAATACACATATTTCACCAAGTTATTTATAAAAATAAAAAAAAATCCGAATTGTAATTCAATATTGAAGGAACCAATTCGTTTATCTTATTTAAGCATGTGGCACCCACAATTTCTGAATCCTGAATCCGCCTCTGATTGACAATGTAAAATTATTCTACTATGTTAGAGACTATAAGATAAGTAAATCTTAAAACTATAGTAGATCTAGATATATATACGTAATTAGATCACTAATAACAAAAAAATGGTACTATTTCCATTTCAAAACATACTAACAAACTTTTTACACACAACAAATTTCATAAATGATTGCTTGTATGAGTATATAAAAAGCAAAGAACCAAGTACTTGACTAAAACCTACTAAGATCAAAAGGCAAACAACGACAAAATAACAAGTAAACAAAATACGATGTTTACATGGAAACTTTCTTGCTGAAGTAATAAGGAAAAATCACGACCTACCTATGTAGGATTTCACCATACAAATTCACTAAAATATGAGCAATGGTTTGATTACAAATTCTTGTAATCCTAGGAATTAAATTCTTAATGTCTTACCCCTTGTAACAACTCTATTACAAGACTTTAATGCTATAACTCTATTGTCCTCTTACTACACCAACTAGCTTAGTTGATATAGACTCTAAACGACAACAATACAAAGATAACCACCTACACAAGCTTCATAGAGAATAGTAGATTTGCAATGTTAGCACAAATTACAAGACCTAACAACAAGGAACTAAACTACAACTTCACTTGATAAGAGTCGTTTCTTTGCTGTAGAGGTCTTCCCTTTTATGAAATCTAAGACAACTTATATCTTTAAGATGTGCAAAATTTTCATATTTGCAAAATTTAGGTTTTTCTAAATGTCATGTCCTCTTATCTACAAGAGAGACAAATGGAAAAAATCTTAAACTCTTTTCATTAGTCGAGATGGAAAAGGACACTACAGTCATACTGCTACATTGCCCTGCCATCCTGATTCCTGCCGAACGGTGAAAAATGGTATGTTTTACAATTATGTTGTTTCACTTTGCATGGTAGTGTTACAAGTATTCACTTTGTGAGTGTAACATGCCGAATTTTTTTTGAGCTAAGACTCAAACCATTCTTCATTGTGAGTAAGATTTTACTGAGGAATTTCAATTTTCTTAGGTGTCAAGGTCGCTAGATGTAGCACCTCGAGTTCCAAAAAGAACTGAAGAGAAATTCATTCAAGTCATCCGTAAGTTCTTTTAAGTTTTGGGTCAAGTTCAAACGACCATAACTCTTAGCACATAATGAGCTAAGTGGCACATGGGTTATCAAATTGAAGATCTTTGAGTCCTATTTCCAACACCACTGAGTTTGCTAAAATCCGAGTTTAGATGAGGGAGATATGACCATTTGAGTGCAGCCTCTCTAGATAGGGCCTTTTCACCCATACTAAAGAGGGGTATTTTAGTATTTTCCTTACCTCCACTTAGTATAAGCTTGAATTACACACAATATAGGGTTTAAACTGATTAGAATCAGTCTCATTCACCCCCAAAATGTTTAGGGCTTTAGAGAGAAGATTCAAGAGGAGAAAAAATTCAAGGTTCCAAGTGTTCATCCAAGATTACGCCAAAAACCTAGTTCTTTGAGGTATGTAAGTTCTCATAGTATTGGGTTCGTTCACTCACACATCAATCATGTGATTTTTATCCATAATTTCATTCTTGAGGTTGAATGAATTGAGTTCTTGAAGAGTTCTTGAGGTTTTAGCTTCATTCCTTGTTAATGGAGTCTTGTTGAGTTCTTGAGGTGAGGATCTTGCGAATGAGTGATTGTTTTGGTATGTTTTGATCTAAGTGTGTTTAGTATATGAATCTAAGAGGCTTTGGAAGAAATCATTCGAATCTAGATGAGGTAAGACTTGAAAATTTGTTGGAATGATCTGGGAGAGGGTGGCGCGGCACGCCCAAGAAGCGCCAAAGGGGCTGGCGTGGGGAGCTTGCAGTACGATAGGGAAGGGCTTCTGAAGTTTAGGGGTTGGCACCCCGCTCCACTCAGTGCGCCAGGGTCGCCAGATCCCCTACTCTTTCGCCCTTCTTACCGTTTGAGTTCTATCAAACCATGTCATCGATCACTTCTTGATTTTTAGTATCCAAAATACATCTAATCATTGATAAATCCTATATATCATAATCATGATCCTTGAATTCATAATTCAAATTCGAGGTAAAGTTGAGAGTAAAGTTTGAGAAAGTCCATTTGAGTCTTTTCGATGAGTCTTCTATAATTACTTATAATTGTTTCAAGCCTCGAGTAAATGAGTATGAGAATAAGGAGAGTGTATTCATGAGCCTACATTATTATTGAGATCCTTGAGTCGAGTCGTTTATGCCCATAAATTCCGCATGAACTTCATAAATTGAGTATATTTGAGAGGAGTAGTATCTTTGAGTTCTAAGTTCTTGAGTATTAAGTTCCTAATCCTTTTGAGATTATATTCCTAATTATGGGATTACCATATGCTATACCTGAAGGTTCTTGAGTTGAGTCATTCATGCCTATAATCTCGCATGAACCCTATGAGTCGAGCATTCTTGAGATGAGTAGCGTCTTTGAGTTTATGAGTTGTTGAGTTTCGAGTATTGACTTTTATATATGGTTATTGAAAATCTTGAATTGAGTCGTTCACATCCATAATTTGGCATGAACCCTATTTTGAAAAGTCTTTTACAATTATTTATTATTTATTGTAAGACTTGAGTAAATGAGGATGAGGAAGGGGAAAGTTTAGTTTCATTTTCAAAATGAATATATGGGAACTAAGTATTCCACGGAGTAAATTTTTTTACATTTGAAATGAGAGGAAACTTCGATTTACAAATGAATTTCATAAGGAGTTTGAGCACTATTTCTTTTAAGAGAACCTTTTGAGTAATAATCTTAAAGTTTGAGGATAAGGAGATATTTTGAAACATATGTGCATGAGTTATATTATGGGGACTAGTATTGA